ATTCACACTGAAGGATTTAATAACGAAAAAATTAGGAGCATATGTGAAATGCATCAAAGATGACAGCTTCTGTCTGGTTATTCCTTGCATTTCAGAGCGTGGGGAATCATATGAGAAATGGCTAGGTGGGCTCCTAAGGGCAATCCTATGAGTTCTTTGGTCACTAGGCCAATGCAACACTCTAACCCAATCCAAGGAGGTGCCTTCTTCATACAGTGTAGAGCTAGCTGTGGGGATGCAACCATGGAGTGACTCAAAGGCCCCTGCCTTCAAGGAGCTTATTGTCTCCTGACATTATCTAGCCCATGTCCAAAGACCAAGTGCAGTTTTAAGTGTTAGTGTTTAAAACTATAATAAGACTTCTGGAATACCCTCAATTTAAACAGAAAAGTAGAGGATATGGTTATTTGAAAAAACGGTAATAGCTAGTGAGATCAGGAAATGGTTCCCGCAGAAGGCCATGCCAACAACACCTACACAGAACCTCAAACTTCCCAGACGTAGGACAGAGTTCTAGCACAGTCCAAGGATGATCTGGTCCCAGGAGAGTTTTGAGAGCCGCTTTTGAGATAGTTTCTCCAGCAGATGCTTTAAAACTGTTTTTTCTTGGTATCTGGTTTTTATGACCTTGGCCAAAGCAGATGATCCCTCCGTGCTTTTGTCCCATGAGTCTTAAAGGTTCTTGCCAGGATTCACGAAGGAACAACATTGTGAAGACTAGGATCTCTGTAAGATATACTTTTTTTTCCTTCCTGAATTTTTTTTTTGAGAAATGTTTCTGTAAGACCATTCACAAATCCAAGATGCCACAGACACACAGATTTGTGGATCTGTGAAAGATATGTGATTTGCTAAAGGAAAGACCTCCCAATATGGGAAATCCTTCCACCAATGACTCAAGATGTCATTCAGCTCAACCCCTTCTTTTTAGAGATGAGGAAACTGAGGACCCAGAGCAGTTGAGTAATTTTCCCAAGGGTCACATAGGTCATAGATCCTAGGGAGAGCAAGGAGTCAAACCCAGGTCCTTCATCCCCCAATTCAGGACTCATTCCACTGAATCATGTTGTCTCATTAGAGATCAACTGCCCCAGGCCCTGAGGCTTCTCTATGGTTTGTTCTACTTGGGAGTGAGGCAGTCTGGTTCTATAAGAGCCTGGAGACCAAATATGGATAGCATGACTCACCACCCAAGGGAGAAATCATTGGGGAAGTCAATAAACCCTAGTCAGCTCGTGAACTGTTGGTCCTCAAACATGCCCTCCACATATGACCCCAAAGAGAGAGAAAAAGAGAGGAAAAAAAGAGTCAGTCCTCATTCTCATGAATCCTTTTAATATCTTATGAACAGTGTGACCAGCCCCTGGGCCTGCCAGCTTCCTAATATCTTGTATGCTGATGGCATTTCTTCATTTCCATTAGTCTTCTAATCCCTCAAGATATATTTATCTAGCACCCAACAGGTGTCCTATACTGGGCTAACTTTCGCTTAAGCCAGCTCATGCTGCAAAAGCAGGTGTTCAATGCATTCTCTTTCCACCTCTGACCTCCCAACCTCATGGGCACCCAAAATCAAATGCCAACCAGGCCAGTAAATTGTACAGTTAATGAAAAAGATCAAGGTTATCTAGAGCATTAAAGCTTGTAAAAGGCTTTACACGTATCTTCTCACAACAGCTCCACAAGGAAGGCAATACATGCATTAGGACTAAGGTTCCAGATAATGAAACTACAGATCAGAGAGATTCAACATCTTACCCATGGTCACACAGCTAGTAAGGGTCAGAGGTGAAACTCAGACCTATATCCTCCAGCTTCAGGTCTGGACCTCCTCCCACTGCATCCAATTGCTCTCCTAATGAAGAGTCCTTCATTTAACTACAAGCTTATAAAGTGATGAATTTCTGCCTGAAATTATTGGGCAAGGGGCACTTCCTAAGCCACTTAAATATCACTGTATTGACTAGTTAGATGCTGAAATGAGAAGCAGGACCATTTCCTGCCTTGAGTGCTGGGCAATCTTTGGCCTTTAGATTTAGGGGAAAAAAAATCAAGGTTTTGTTCAAAAGATATATTAACCACTTTGTCCTCCTCCCATCCTCAAGAAGAGATCTACTCTAAATGCAGTAAGTCTGGGGGCAGAGCTAGCCTTGATTAACGATCATACGTGTTGTTGTTTAGTCATGTCCAACTCTTCCTGACTCCTTGGACCACAGCACACTAGGCCCTTCTGTTTTCCACTATCCTTCAAAATCTGTCCAAGCTCATGTTCATTGCTTCCATGACGCTACCTATTCATTTCATCCTTTGCTGTCCCCTTCTCCTTTTGACTTCAGTCTTTCCCAATATCAGGGTCTTTTCCAGTGAGTCCCATCTTCTCATTATGTGGCCCAAGTATTTAAGCTTCAGCTTCAGCATTGGACCTTCCAATGAATAGCCTGAATTAATTTCTTTAAATATGGATTGATTTGATCTCCTTGCTATCTAAGGGTCTCTCAAAAATCTTCTCCAGCACCACAGTTCAAAAGCATGGATTGTGCAGGACTCAGCTTTCCTTCTAGTCCAACTCTCACAGCCATACATCACTACTGGAAAAAGTATAGCTGTTGACTATGTGGACCTCTGTCAGCAAGGATTATAGAGTGAATAACTAAAAATCATGTCTCAGCCCTCTATAAGCAGGCGGACTACATCATTCCACAGACCCCTGGCCCCCCTTCTACCTCTTACTAGGGGACTGGTGATCAATCAATCAATTAGTCAATAATCTATTAAGTGCCTACTTATAAAAGTATAATACTAATAATACTATTAAGGTTGGGGATACAAAAAGAGGCAAGACAGCCCCTACCCACAAGGGGCTTACAATCTAATGGGGGAGACTGTGAGAAATAATTATTAATAACCAATATCTTGGAGAGATTCAGAGCTTCCCCCTCCCCCCTTCCAAAGTCCTGACTTTAAGTTCAGTTTTTCTTTTAAATTAAGGACATTACTGACAATGAGATTGCATTGACTCTCCTCAATCTTGGTCAGACCCTATGCAACCTTGCAAGAAATTTAATCTAAAGTGGGGAAGCCCATTGAGTTCTACTCAGACTTGGGTGGAGACAGATCCTTTTGTCTAGAGGCTGGGAGTGGCATGGTATGGAGATGTTTTCTTTGTCCAGGGGAGATGTGATGATGGGGTGACATCAGCCCCTATTGGAAGGGTATATAAACTGTGAGTCCACTGCCATGATTGTCTTTAGTCTAAGAGAGATGGCCAAATGACCATCCTTCTATTAATAATCTGTTGGCCTTATTAATAAAAATGATTAAATTACCCAGAAGTATATCTCTAGAAACTTTTTAAACATCACAGAGACAACATGCAAACAAAAATACATAAAGCAGGATCAATAGGAAATAATTAAGAGAGGGAAAGCACTGGAATTAAGAGGGGTTAAAGAAGGCTTCCTGTAGAAGGTGGGAGTCTTAAAGGAAGCCAGGCAGGTTGGTAGTCAGAGCAGAGGAGGGAAAACATTCCAGGCATGGAGGGACAGCCAACAATATCACTGATGCTATGGTCTAATGGCGCTTCTCGGAATCTATAAAGGCTTCTGAATTCTAGGTTATTGGAGGCCAAAAATTCCTCTTTGGTCATCGATCCTCTGCTCCTTCATAACTATCCCTTCTGCATCCCTACCCTGTGCTATCCTATTCTTCCAATGTGCTCCCTGGAGCTCCTGCTCTACTGTTAACAAACTGCCCTTCACAGTACAATGATGTTCAAAAATATTTTTTTTCATTCAAAATCTTTTTATATTCAAAAATATTTTATATACATTTTAGATTAATTTATCTGTGCATGGGCTGATTTCCCCTTTACTGGAACCTTACATTCTTTAGAGTTGGGATTATTTTGTTTCTGTTTTTGTAATCCCTAGTGCCTAGCACAGTGCTGGGCACATAGGAAGGACTTAAAAAATACTCATTGATTTGAATTCAGAATCATTGAGATTTTTATTCATTTGAAAAATCCATAAACCTTATTGTGGCACCTGGGTTCATTTAGTGATGAGTTTTCCTTTTAGAATTTAAATGACGCTTATTTGTTTTCCTTTTCCTTTCCCTTCTTTCCTTTCTTTCGTTCATTACAGTCTCAGATTGTGAAGCTTAAATGAAAATGTTCTATATGGTAGAAAGAGCCCTGGATGGGGAAACAAGAGAAGCCTGGAGTCTGGTTCTAGTGCTGCCTCAGTTTCCTCATCTGAAAAACAGGGATAATAATAGCACCTACCTCCCAGGGTAGTTGTGAACACCAAACGAGATGATAATTGTAAAACACTTAGCACAGTGTCAGTCACATAGTAGCAGCTATATAAATGCTGGCTATTATTGGCTATGTGAGCTCATGCAAATCCCTTAACCATTCTGGGTTTCAGTTTCTTTATTTGTAAACATGAGAGGCTTGGATCATTGCTTTAGAGCTCCAAGGGCCCTCAGGAGTCATGAGTCCAAAACTCTCACTTTAGAGAAAAAGAAATAGAAAGGTTTAGTGACTTGCCCAGGGGGACACAGCTATTTAGGGTTTGAGGTAGGGTTTGAACTCAGATTTTCCTAACTCCATGCCCAGTGTTCTATTTCCTATCCCATGCTGCCCGTGATTTTGGCTAGCTCTAAATTCCACTATTTTCCCCTTCATTTCTTTGATCACCCCGAGTTCTCATGGTTTTTCCTCTCCACTGTCCGTCCTTTCTTTCTTTCTTTCTTTCTTTCTTTCTTTCTTTCTTTCTTTCTTTCTTTCTTTCTTTCTTTCTTTCTTTTCTTTCTTTCTTTCTTTTTCTTCCTTTCTCTCTTTCTTCCTTTCTCTCTCTCTCTCTCTCTCTCTCTCTCTCTCTCTCTCTCTCTCTCTCTCTCTCTTGCTATCAGATCTTCACAGTCAACTTAGCTTCTCAGAAAATGGAAGAAGGACCAGCCCCCAGAACCGGCCCCTTTGTCAAAATCAAGAGAAGTACCTGGGCTGACAGGAGCCTCCTTTTTTGCCACGACCTCTTAGATTCTCCACTAGGGTAGATGGGCCAGGGGACGGGGAGTTATTAGAGAGGCAGCAGAGCTGAGATTTTACAGTTGAAGGAAAATGTTGGTGCTGTTTCCTGTTTCGGGATCAGAGTGAACGTGTCAGCTCTTTGGGGAAGGGTTACTTCCTAAATAATGACTAGCCTGTTAATGAATCAGACAAAAATTGTTATGTTGGGGGATATAGCCTCGCCTTATGAACAAGCTGCAGGGAATGAGACCACCAAGGGAAGAAAGGAAAATCCTGTTTTACCACTTTGGTCTAAGGACTGAAATGATTGCAAAGCACAAAAAGGAATGAATGCAAAATGGGCCTTTCTGGAACTGCCCGACCACTTAATTTTAAAACAATAACTACCTTTTTCAAATAATTTTAGAGATCAGAGAATCATAGATAGAAGAGACCTTTGAAGTCATTGAATCTACCTAATCTTCATTTTACAGATGAAGAAATTGAGTCACACAGGAAATGAGTAGCAAAGCTAGGATTAGAACCTAGGTTCTCTGACTGTAAATCCAGCATTCTTTCCACTGGATTGTGTTACCCCCTAAATCCACCCCTGAATTGAAAAGCTGAAGGGTAACTAAGGCTAACACTCTCTGGGTTGGTGCTTTATTAGTTGAGAGGATACCATGGGCGTGATGGGAAAGGATTTGTGTCTGTCTCCTCATTTCAAGGTTTCTGTTCTAATAATGATATAATTAGCATTTATATAGTGCTTACTATGTGATAGGCACTATGCTAAGTGTAATAATAATAAAATAATAATAATGTTGTTCAGTCATTTCAGCCATGTTTGACTCTTTGCGATCCCATTTGGGATTTTTTTTGGCCGTGATTTGCCATTTCCTTCTCCAGCTCATGTTACAGATGAGGAAACTGAGGCCAACAAGGTTAAGTGACTTGCCGAGGGTCATAAAGTTAGTGTCTGAGGCTGGATTTGAACTCAGGGAGATGAGTCTTCCTATCTCTATGCCCAGTACTCTATCCACTGCACCATCTCACTGCCCTAAATAATAATACTAGCTAACACTTACATAGTGCTCATTATGTGCCTGGCCCTGTGCTCAGTGCTTTACAATTGTTATTTCATTTGATTCTCGCAATAATCTTGAAAGGTAGCTGCTATTATTGTCCCCATTTTACAGATGAAGAGATGAAGGCAAATTAAGGTTAAATGACTTGCCCAGGATCATACAGCTTAAGTGTCTGAGTCAGGACTTGAAGAGTCTAGAAGAGTCTTGAAGACTCAGGTGTTCTGGCCAGCAGATCTGGCACTCTGTCCACTGTACCACCTAGCTGCCTTAACCACTCTCAGGCTTAGTGTCTTCGCCTGTAGAATAGTGGGTGGATGATGGGGGAGGGGAGGAGGATTGACTTAGATGGCCTCTTAAGTCCCTTTCAGTTCTAGAGTTATGGTTCTAGGAGCCTATGACTAACCGCTGTCCCTCTTCTGCTTGCAAATTGTTTTATGTACAGGGGCTCATTTGGGACCCACAACAACCTTGTGAGACTTCAGTTATTGTTTTCATTTTACAGATTAGGAAACTGAGGCTGAGAAGGATTAGATGACTTGTCTGTGGCCACACTAGTAGGAGTCTGAGGAGGGATCTGAACCCAGGTCTTCAAGTCCACCTGCTACCCAGTCATCATGGTAGAGCCCACAGCTTCTACTCAATGCATCAACTTATTCATTCATTCACAAATACTTTGCTGTATCTTGGGATATTAAAATGACATAGGCCTGACCCCAGTGGGCTTTTACTACGAACATTTTTTTTCAGATTAATATATAAGGACTTCAATCCATTGGTCAATCAATGAACATTTAAGTTCCTACTATGTGCCAGACACATGTGACAGAGAGGAAAAAAAAGGAAGCAGTTCTGTCTAGTTCAAGTACACTTAAAAGGTACAACAGTTCATTTAACAACAACAGCAAAGACAAACTTTCCTTGGTCCCAGGCACTAACAGATCCTTAGAAATACTACACAAAGGAATCCATTTGACTATAAATAGCCTAGTCTTTCAAGGATTAAGAGTTTGGTGTTGTTTTTGGCAGGTGGAAAGAATATTACCATTCTTGTTCTCTGAGGGAACAGAGTTGTAACAGGTAACAATTCTGGAGAATATAATTTTTTTTGGCACATGGCACAGCTGGTATTTCAAAGCCCCACAATCCTGGCCTCAGACCACCCACAAACAGAAAGCATGAACGTGTCCCTCGTGTGGCTCTTTATAAAGCCATCTTCTCCAGCCATTAAGGAGGGGTAGCAGTCCAAATTCAGAAGAGAATTACAGAGAGAACAGGCAATAAATCTTCACCAGGAAACTGCAAGGCAGCAGATCTTTTGACCATTGAGACTGGTCTACTTAGGTATCCTGTGGTGATGGACAGTTCAAGGGAACCCTATGACTGAAACAATTGCTTTCACTTCACTAGGTACAAGGAAATCAATGAATGAATGAATGAATGAATCAATCAGTAAGCACCTATTAAGTGCTTACCATCTGCTAGGCAAGGGGCTAGGAGCTGGAGATACAAATACAAAAACAGCATAGACGCTGAAATGACAGGCCAATTGTAAGTCTTTCTCAGACCAGTTGTCCCTGCCCTAGCCCTGCCCTGCCCGCTCCCCTCCTTTTTGGACACTCTCCCCCTCCAATATCTGGAATCTTCTATGTCTAGGACTCTCCAGGCCAGAAACTTCCAGATTCCCAGCCAAATGGCACTGCCGACCTCCTCGCCTGTGGTATCCTAAGTGAGAAGCCAACGAGTGACTGATCGGGCCACCACCTCTTCCTGTAAAACACCTGGCTCTCTTTCGCTTCCGAAGCTGCCTGGAGTCTCACCCATTAAACTACAGAGGGTGTGGCATAATGCTATGCCCCATCCTGGGAGTGTCCACTCACAAAATCACCTTGGGCTTCCTCCCAGCTCTTCCTGCCAGCCTGAAGACTTGTTATTCCTGGGTCATAGAGAATGATAACTAGCATTTATATAGCCTTAAATTGCCGCACAAAGGCTTTTGGAGGTACCCTGAATCTGGCTCTATGGTATGCTAAGCACTCTTAATATGTTATTCCATTTGGTTGTGTTTATGCCTAGGAATGAGCTTCCTCTATTAAATACACAGGAGAGGCAGTAAAAAGAAAAAAACCCATCATCGTACCTGGCACGTTGTAGGTTTTTAATCAATGCGTGTTGATTGACTCCAAGGCTTCCTGCCTCCATAACAGCTCTGGACTTTATTCATGCTGCCAATCTGTCTTCACTAAAGGCCAAGGCTAATAATAAGGCAGGGCTTTGGGGAAGCTTAAGATTGCTGGGTTTTATTCTTTGGGCCCTAGAGTTTTGTCTCAGGAAACTAAACCACAGACCCCAAAGGCAAAATCTGTGAACTTTTGCTTTTAAAAACATTCTGATAATTCTATTTCAATGTAATGGTTTCCTTTGTAATTCCTGTGTATTTTATTCCATGCACTTAAATACATTATTCTGAGAAAGGGTCCACAGGAATCACCAGACTGCCCAAAGGGTCCAGGACACAAAAAAAGGGTAAGAACTGATTTAAACCATAGTTCCACCCCTGGCCCCACCATTTTACGGAAGAGGAAACTGGGGCACAGCAAGAAGAAGTCAATTAGTCAAGATCACTAGGAGCCTCAGTGAATAGAATGTTGGACTTGGAATCAGGAAGATGTCAATGTAAACCTTACCCCAGAAGCTTAGTAGCTGTTTGGCCCTGGGCAAGTAAGTCACTTAATCTCAACCTCAGTTTCTTTATTTGTCATTTCTCAAATGGGGATTATAACACCTGACTCGGAGTGTTATTGTAAAGATCAAATGAGAAAATATAGCTAACATGCTTTGTAAAACTTTATTTGTATCATCATAATACATACATAATTATATAATAATTATACAAATATATCAATACAATTATACAATTTTTATACACAAGCATATAGCTGCTATGTATATATATAGATCATATATCAATGCTAGCTATTATAAGTGGCTATTATAATAAGGTCATCTGACCTCTGAGGGAGTAACGTACAGTAGCTATAGATTGAGGGAACCAGGATTCAAATCTCATTCCTGAAACCTGCCACCTGTGAGACCTAGGATAGGTCTCTGAAACTCTCTGGGCCTCAGTTTCCTTATCTGTAAAATGAAAGGGTTTACCGGTTGGCCTCCGAGGTCCCATCCAGCTTCAGATTTGTAATTCTACAACCTTAAAAACGCAGGGTTCTTTCCATTTGGACAAGAATAACTGAATTCTTCAACCTGAGATGATACGACTATGTAGCCTGTAAAACCGTCAACTCCCAGCCCCAAATCCCCGGTGAATCCTTGGCCTAAGACCATGAACTAGTCCATGACCACAATGGAACGACGCAGCTGGGCAGGGCAAGTGGCAAGACTGATTTTCATGGGTCTTGGTTTCATTCGTGGCTCCATCTGTCAAGAGATCATGGCCATGACCGACCAGCACCCTCAGGCTGTGGGGAGGAGGTGTTTTCTCACAGCAGCTAGAGAATATTCTGGGGAGGTGAAGACAGAATTACTCTCTGATTTATGAGTCTTGACCCACACTTGAAAGCACAGGTTGCTGTCTGAACTTGCAGGCTTTGATGGAATAACATCCACACCAAGGCTCCCGCAATTCCAGGGACCCCCAAAGCCTTGCTGTGGCCCTTTAAATCCAACTGACGGAGTAAGCCCTGAGAGGAGGGCAGATGCTGGGCGGCTGCCACCCAGGCTTCAGAGTCAACTCAGCTCAGACTCTCAGACTGCTGCCTCTGGCCATCCTGGCTTGCGGCGGCTTCCCTCCTCAAGGCCTTCTCTATGTCAAAGCACAAACACATGAAATGAAGTGGAGGAGGCCCTTCCTTCTTCAGATGGCAGCAGGCCCACCTGCATGATGTTCTAGCCCTGTGGGATGGCAGAGCTGTGACTGGGATGGGCCTGGGGCCAGCAGACAAAACCTCTGCAATGGCAAAGACTGGTGGAGAAGCTGCCACATGAGGGGGAGCGGGTGGAACAGCCAGTCTCCGATTCGAACTGACTATTCTTGTTAACTAAGTGGCTATCCTCTCCTTGGGAGTAGGGAATGTTTAATTTTTTTGTCTTTGAATCCCCAGGGCTTAACCCAGTACCTGGCACATAGCAGTCCCTTTATGAATGAATGAAGCATTTATTAAGCACCTATTGCATGCTACGATCAGCAGGATGATGTGATTAGAGACTGAGGGCTGAAACAGACGAGGAACTGAGGTCCAGAGAAGATCTGGCTTTCCCAAGGTTATACAGCTAACAACTGCTGAAGCCAAGATTTGAAACTAGGTTCTCTGACTCCAAATCCAGGCCTTCTCCAGTGTTCACTTCATTCCCAGCTCAGACCCCTTTTGGACTGCTCTGCCTCCCTAGCAGTATCACTACATGATGGCCTCTGCCCTACCACCTCCTTTCTTCATTGGTAAATTTCCAGCAGGAATCACCGTTTCTTGAGAGGTCTCAGCTATGCTGCTCACTTCATGCCTAGCTCAGCTCACTCATGACTTCTCTACCTCCCCACCAGCTGCCCTGCACCCTCATCTGACTTCCCAGCACCCTTTTAGACTTGTTTTCCACTGCTTGAATGTAGACTCCTT